TCCACCATTTAAGTATAATTGATCTGTTGAGTAGAGGTGACCAACAACTTGTATTTATTCGAAAATATTTTTACTATCTTGTTGTTGGCATACAAGTATGTTTTAGAATAGTTTCTGTTTTGTCAAAGTCAGCTAGTCATAAGCTTGTAACCACAGTCTAGTTGTTGCGGTCTATGAGACAATCGAAACCGATGGTTAGAGACTTTGAATGACATGGCTTAAAATCTTTTGCAATGGCGCAGATACATCCATCCTGTGTCCTTCGGGATATTATTCTCGAATCATGTATTTGAACCTTAATCTTTCTGGTTAATGCTTATACTTCTACTACCATTATGGGATTTGAACTTTTAATTAAATTTCTGTGTGCTGAACTGGTATGGGAACTTGTACTGTACGTACGAAGTTCTACGTTACAGCTGACTGACTGACAGTCTATCAGTTGAATCATCGTATTACTGGAGGTATACCATTGAGATTAATACGATTGTAGGTCGAACTGTTTGAGAATTCTTCAAGCGCTTTTCACTAATATTTTAATTTCAAAGAATCTACTGAATATTTTTCATTTACATTTAACAGTTTCAAGCATTTCCATTTATCCTACTTCAGTTCGTCTTTGTTGTAATTTGTTACTTTTTACTGTTTTCATCTTCTACCTTGCCAAAATATACACACACTTTTCGAGAACACATTCTATATTTTTTCTCGATCGATTTATAACGGTATTTATATCTTTTTTTTGTTCTTTTTCAGCCTATTTATTTTGTTTCATGTTTCAGGTCACACACACACACACACTGTTCTCAAGTTTTCTACTTTTTTTCCCTATTCTCTCATCTATGAACAATTACCATTGTAAAATAGGGGATAATGATAATGAAAGATAGTGGGAATTTTTTCCCATATTATACAATACAGTTGTAAATTATCATGACTCATTCTCATTTGTTGTGAGTTGTTCTCTCTCGCCTTAAACACATATTAAAGGTTCTTCTTTAACTTACAGCTTTAGACGATCAAATGGTTAATACATTCATTGCCTGAGGGTTATTATTATGATGAATATTTGTGTTCTTTCCATTGATGATTGACAGTTACGTCGTGGTTATGCTTGTGTGTGGGTGTGTGATTCCTTTTGTTTCTGCATTTCTTTTCCCCATTCTCATACACTCGCCACATATACAAATCCACTGGTCTGTTATTATTCTGTAACAAACCTCACTGATTTTCATTCGTACATTTCAAACTTATTTCATTTAGTGCTTATTCCATCACTGTTGCAGCATAGACACTAGGTCTATCACATTTCAAGCTCACGCACATATATACGATTATTAAGAAGCCTTCAATATGACCTAATAAGAATGCCTATCAAAAAACAAACATTAAAGGATTATTATTATCATTATTATGGGGAGAATGAGGCACAGATGAATATACTTTGTTGTCTGTTTATTATTCAAATCTTTTGTACTGTTTTCTTTTTTGTATTAAAAAGTTTTATTTGATTTTATGCTGATAAAATTACTCTTTATTATTGAATCTGTACATCAATATAGCCTCTCTCTCTGTGTGTGCGTATATAATTGACCTGATACTCTCTGTAAGCAAAGAATTAGCCTAATGATAATAATCGTAATCAACTTATAGGTCACAGCTTCAATGTGTTAATCACCTCAGTTGCATATGTTTGCGCCTTAAACTATTCTGTAATCATTATTAGCAGACATATGTCATGATAATTATTATTTAATTAAAAATGTTTCTTCATTTCATAATTTGATGATGACTTGTCTTCTTTTGTTGAGTCAGTCAGCTAGAACCTACAGCGTACATCAGTTCATGATGCCATCATATATTAACATAGAGATGCAACTGTAGATTCAAATCCCATAGTAGTAGAGATAATGGAAGGATAAGCAGTAATCGAAAAGACTATGGTTCGAAGATATGATTAGAGAAGAATATCTTCGAGGAATCAATTTCAAAAAATGAAAAACGGTCCTAAGGAATTTAGAAGATTAGAGTTTGAGGGAAGACTCAGAATGGATGCACACGCATCAGCGTAAACGAATTTGAGCTATGTGATTCAGCGTCTAACTGTCGGTTATTTTTATTCCTAACACCAATCGGTAACTCCTTTACAAAGTACCTAGTAGCTGGTACCTGATGGAACGTCATTAATTTAATTGAGTTCTGTCAGCACACATTACTTGATGCGTAGGATAGATATCCATCTCCTTTACAAAGAGCGAGATAGAAGCGCACAATCATCCATCCTCTACTACTGTGTAGCTTTAAAATGGAGTTGATAAAAGTAGGGTATATGTAAAAATTATAGTTGTTTCATCACGGATATCAACGTGTTTTGTGATGATTAATGCTGTGGACAGACGATAGGTACTAGGTAGAAAATTATAGTAAACTGGTTGGTGAAGTTGTGAATCATCAGTAACTCTGCTAGTTGATTCATCTGTTGCATAAGTCCAACCAACACCTATCCTAACGTGTAATGTTTGCTGGTGTATGTAAATTATAGAATAAAACCAGAAATGACCAAATGGAAACGATGCACTAGATAGTGAAATAATCATTGACTAACTGAGTCATATCAGTGGATGTAGACTTCGTGTTTGGGATTTACGTCATAAATGTGATCACTTGTTTCATTTCAAAAAGCATGAGAATGTAATGGTGCATTTTTTTATTTCGTTTTCAGTAAAACGGATTGACTGCATAATGTTTAGGTGAGCTTTGCTTTGTTTTTTGTTTAAGAAAATAACAGAGGATATGCACTTATATAGAAATCATGAATCAATTATTGCCAAACCACCACTAGAAACCTGGAAGCACTGTTCGGTCGTTTCGTCCTGATATGTGACTCATCATCAGTGTGCATCTACGACTCCTGCTATTCGCAGGATCCGAACCCAGGTCCTTCGGTCTTGTGTGCGAAAGCTTAACCGCGGGACTACTAAGCTGACATCCAAAAGATAATTTCCGAAAATTTAACAATGAAATTGGACATTTTTTCCAAATTCATTTGATCAGTAATGTTGTTGATTGTTTGTTACTTTTGCTGTCGTTGTTACTATTCATGTATATTTAACTTCCTGTTACAATTCACTGATCAAGTAAATGATTCGTGTACTTATATTGCTTACCCTTAATTATGAAATCATAGTCACATGTTTCCTTCTTCTTCTCTGTATTCAGTTCGTCTAGTTAATTTATTCAGTTTGATGTTATCTGTGACTATGATGCTATCATGTGACTATGACCGTTTTTTAGTGTGATAATTATATTCAGAGCAATGAAAATGAACAGGTACTCAACTAGTAGCAGTAAACGTTGAGAAGTTTATTTTTGTTTTGTTCAAAGAAAATTTTATTTATTTGATGTATGAACTTTTTCATTTCGGCTAATTAAGTGTGTGTGTGTGTATGTATGAGTATTCGGAGTGAGAGTACTTTTAAAAGTAATTTATGTAAGCTCTTATTCTGCAAATTTTATGAGTGAATATAACCTTCATTACATGTAATATGAACTGACTAATGCATTATCAGTTGGAAGCTGGAAGAAGGCTAGGGGCGGCCCGAACAAAACATGGCATAAATCGATAAAGTCATTGAAAAATGGACTGAGTCATGTTGGTAGATGTAGACTATCTGGTTAGGGTCTAACAGTAACTGATGGTCAGAGACTTTGAAAGAAATGGCCCAAAATGTTTTGGGTTTGCGCAGGTACATCCAATCTTTGTGTTCTCTCGAACTCTAATCTTCTGAATTCCTCATTCCCTTTATCTCTCACTTTTTTCAAATTTATTTCACCGCATAATACTTCTCCAATGATTTCTTCGAACTCTAATCTTTGCCATTACCATTAATATTTCTACTACATCTCTAGCCATGGGATTTGAATGGACAATTGCCTCTCTGTGTTAATGTGGTATGGCAAGTTGAACTGGTGTACCTACGTACGATGTTCTTCGTTGTAGTTGACTTACTGACTGATGACTATTAAGTTGTACTGCTTAATATACTTGGGTGTGACGTAAGAAAGTTATTATCCTCAGATAATCAGTATCTGCACTGATGCGTAGGTCGATCCTAAAGTTGTTGCGACTAGCCTTAATACTAACGACTTCCACCGCCAGAGATAAAAATACTTTTACAGTACATAGTTAACACATCTAAAGCTTCTTGCCAAAAGTAATTGTTTAATCACGCTGAAACCTCAACTAATTCACTTTCTCTGTTAGGGAACCTCAAAAAGGTTAATTATTCATATACCTCTGGTTGCAAACATTTCATGATAAATATGTAAATAATTTTTATGGTTTTGTGAAAGTTTTTTTAATTTCAGTCTTATTATAAATGATCCTCATGTGGAAATATTCATTTGTAGATATTACTAGCTATAAAAATAAGGTTTTTACTTACACAACCAAATGTATTGCTTTATATAACAATTGGTGCATAGTTTTACCTTTGTTATGACATCATTCTTGAGAAAACAAATCAAAAAACTCTCTGCTACATTTTGCTGTTTTCACTACTCAAAATAATGGATTTAGAAGTCTTTATTATTTATTTTGCTGTTGTATATACCTGAAAGCACTGGATGGCCATTCCCTCCTGGTTTGTGACTCATCAGCAGCAGGATTTGAACCCAGGACCTTCAGTCTTGCGCGCACACTCTCGACATCAGATTATTTTAATGACTGAGTCAAATCCTACTAAGTTTTTTCAGTCGGGTCACGCGTGAATGAAATTTTCAACAGATTGATGATCTTGTTCCGAAGAACAAGTAAACCTTCATGATTAAATTATTCACATCTCATAGAATGAAACGCTATCAAAATCGTTTTACTTGAACTCCCAATCTTCACTCTTCATTAGACTGTCATTTCATTGAAGTATCTTTGTTCTCTACTATTGATTGTTCAGAATGTCCTATTTTGTCATCATAGTTTTCTTAATTTCTAATTTTTTCAGAATGGTTCAATTTTAAAATCATCTCATCAACTTAATTCATCTATTATAAATAAAAATAACACACGACTAATTAATCTTCCGTTGGAATTGTCAAATATTCGTTCTGATCAACATGGTCAGATATATGTTTGTGAAGCCGGTATAAATCGTGCAGCTAATCAAAAACCAATTATCGAAGAGGTGATGCTTGAAGTTAACTGTAAGTTGTTACTGTTTTGATATTTGTTGAGACATTGATTCGTGAAAACTTCCGACTAATTCCATAGTTGATATTCTCAATTAAATGAGATTTCAGGTATATTTTTAGCTAGAAATGAGTCTCAAATAATATGAAACACAAGCCGTGTATTACGCTGTTGGTCACAATTGATCTGCACTATGCCACGAAACTAACAATAGAATGTGGCTAGCAATGAAATCCAGGACTCGCATGTCGTCCTATTTGGGACTTGTCTGTAGCCGTATATACCTGTCACATTCGCTCCAGGACCGGATCCGAGTCTAGTTTTGGACATTACTGAGATCTGTTGTGATCACTAACCTGGCTGATTGGAGTTAGACTCACACACCACTAAAATCTGGGTCATTATTTTAAAGGTACAACGTTCGCACAAGGGCTCATAGTTTCTTTTCGATTCCCAGTTTTATGGCCATAGATACACGTACTCCTGAGGAATGTAATTAATAGAACAGAAAAGCATTCCAGTATTTTCATATTTTCAAAATACTTAAAGAAGCAAATGGAACTGTTTATTTTGAATTATCGATAAACGAGAAAATTATGGTGCGTAATTCAACACACCTGTTTTTGAATATTTCAACAAGTTATTGATTGTTGTTTAATCATTTCAACACGTCAATTATATCTGTTAATTGCGTAAGAAAAATTTTTTTACCACCTATCACCTCATAAAGTACAAAAAAGTATAATACAAGACATCATGGCGGTTGGCAATATGTATATTGATAAAGTCAACTTGTTGAAATATTCCCAGCTGAGAATTTTCTATTGTATTAAACATTGAAAATTGAATTAAGCCATTATTATCATCATCGTCATGTTTACAATCAATCCTCTTTTATCTATCTATATTTACAGTGTATCCAAAAATTCACATGACTGACAATGTAATCTATACAGATATTGATGTTGAAGAAACATTTAATGTAAGTTTGTGTTTTCTTTTATTGACTTGTTAAGTGTATATCATACTTTTTTACCGAATAACTAATTATCTGTAATCAGTGTACACAAATGAATAAGTAGGTCTTTCATTTCAAGTGGTAGGACAACATATTTACGACAGAACGATGAAATTGTTGAGTCAAACTTCCAGGCTCCAGATAAACCAACAATTTTGGGCCGCCTACCAGTATTCTACAACCTCCAACCTTTCAATTTCTATCCAGCTGATATTCATTCTTTTCATATCTTTCCTTTTCATTGCCAAATCAATTTTAATAATATTATTATTATTACTATTACTATTACTTAACTATTATCATCACTTCCTATCTTATTTATTTGTTCATCGGTCCGGTCTTTCATCTCCATCTATCCCAACAGTGACCTCAATTAGTTTCATGGTTAACTCCTCTTTTTTTCGTTTTTCTTACCGGACTATGATAACTTAACTTTTTGACTATTAATTCTCTAGTAATTAATATTATCACTTTTGCAAAATTACAGAAATTCTCGTATTGTTCATTAGTTCACACGAAAATCTTTTTTATGGTGTTAAATAAATTCAAAGTTTGTGGGTATTCGCTACTGACTACAACTACTATTAGGCGATTAGAAGCATTGTCGACTAAACTGTTTTTATTTCAAATGACATATCACTCATCCCTCTCACTAATTATTGAAAACATGCTCACCAATGGAATTCAACCGTGCCGAGTAGAAGACGGGCAATGGATAAAGGTTCCTCACTATCGTGGGTAGTTAAAAATTATGCACTGACACCGTTTGGGGCTGATCAAGAGGTTAAATCTTCACGCCTAAGACCGAAGGTCCTGCTGATTAGTCTCATGCTAGGATGAAATGGCCGTCCAGTGCTTCCGAGTTTCTAATGATGCTCTAACATTGGTCGATACATAGTTCTATGAAACTTGACTATTTTCACAACCTAATTATTATTTTCTTAATGGTTGTTGAAAAGCACAAGTTGACAGTACGAAACTTGTATCTGAAATTTTCATTAAATTGCCTCTAATTACTGAACAATTTATTCCCTAACTAATAACGATTAATGTATTCTGTTTACATAGTTTTTCTAACCATGCTCAACTACCCCTAACAGTGGTGATAAATCTTCGTGTTTCAATTTATTTGTTATGCAATTCAACCGTTCTTTAATTGATTTCTATTTTATTCAACAATGAAATCAATTTCACTGTAAATATCATTATTGCTTATGACAAATTGTTACTGACCTTTTTAATAATCAAATCTAATTGTATAAACCTACCTTAAGTATATTTCTAAATTAGAAAATGTCACCTAATTGCATTGGATATCCTTCCTATTTTAAAACCGGATGAAGTAGGTTTTGGTTTCGAAATTGGCAAAAACTCTTGACCCCTAATCACAACTGCCCTATTGATTGTGATCATACATGAAAAATTTAGAAATAAAATAGTTATGTGACTACAGGTCAAAAGGTCAAGAATTGAATGGTTAAGTGAATTTCTTCTCTCTCTCTCTCTCTCTCTCTCTCCTCTCTCCTTTTCATATTTTTCTCATAATTATACATATTTCTATGATCAGTGGTCAGTGTTAACTAAAATGATTAGGATTAGTTTAATATTTCCAACATCATCATTATGTAATTATTAATCTTCAGTAGGAGGTTATGAAAATTGTTGAATTTCAGTGAAATCATGAACTGATCAATGTTAGACCATCCATTGAGAAATTGTTTTGTCTCAGCCATGAATGATGATCATACTTCATTGTTGTGGAGTGATTGAGTTTAAACATTAGGAATATCTTATTGTCAATGTTAATCCAGCACTGATCACTTTATGATCATAATGAAACCATTAACTTTTCGTTAATTGCACAGCCTACTCTAAAAATAAGCACAGCTGGATGAGTTAAAGTAATTCAGTCCCACGAACATTTTGACATTTAATTCAAACAAACCCACTACTTACCTGTTTATGAAATGCACTATACTAGTGAACCACTGTTTTTTTCGCTGTAATAATTAATTGGTTTATTGATAAAATTTGACAGAATCAGGTCGGTTTAAACCCTACGTGATAGATCTCATTCTCAGCTACAGTTTGTAAACACCTTTTTAAGTTATTCACCGTGTGTAGTGCAGCGCATAGACAAGTATCAACAATAAAATGTGATCTGCAAGGGCTTTGATATTTTCACTTATTTTTTTTTTACTTCGAAACTTGAGTGCTGTTCATATTCTGATATTCTATTCTAAAACTGTTATTCTCATTTGCCCACTCTGTTCTGCTTAAAAAATTTAAAACTTGATCTGATAGAGTAGATTGCAGATTTTTTTGAAAAAATGCTAGCGTTTCACTGGACAACTAGTTGATCAATGTTGGGTTTAGCGCGATTGACAATTCCGAATCCACGCTGACTGGTTAGGATATCTGCTACGTATAACCAACTATCGTCAACCTCAATGATCAATGATTTCTAGTGCAGAAGTTGAATGGAGGAAAATTAGGACCAGGCTAACCGAAACCTACCATCAACCCTTGATATAAAAGACTGCTATTCCATACAATGTTTGTAGATGCAAGCATTCTGGTTGGAACCCATATATTAAAGGCGATTAGGGGTTGAATATGATATCTCTAAATCATTTACAATGACGCAGATCAATCTATTCTTAATTTTCCACTCGGATTTTGAACTCCATTACCACCTTCTCTTCTTAAATGATATTATTAATGTTTGACCTAGTTTTTTTCATTTCTCCTACATTATATTGGTCTGTCTCACCATTTTCATCGAAATATGCTATGACAAATATGATGTGACACTTTAGATCAACGAACTACTGAATAAAGTGTTACATTGTCTGTTTGCTATAGTGGGTTCATGTAACAAGTGAAAAGTTTACTTTTTTGCATAACTATGTCGTATTTCAACTTTTATTTTACACTCTCGCTATGTAAATAATGTAATCACTCACAAAAATAATAACTGAACTTGCATGAAGTTTTAGCGTTGTAAATAAAAGAGTAAAATCTACAATAGAACTGTTTATTATTTATTTCAGACATATTTTTGCATGTCGACATCTTCATCATCTGTTTATGTTTAACTATTAAAAAAAAAATTATCATCAGAAACAATTATTTCAATAATTTCGATGCAAACCATACTCACAACATATACATTTGATCATGAGTACTAGTAATGATAATAATAATAATAATAATAATTATTATTATTATTATTATTATCATTACAGAGAAAACTAAAATTCCAAACAATATTTCTAGTAAGAGCTTGTTGAAATAGTAACACTGGAATATTCTTACATGTAAACTTATGAGTCTTCAGCTAGAAAAAACATGTTTCTTAAATTCCATCGATAGTCATATATCAAATATCTATGTATAATAATGCACAGTATCTATTTTTTGAAATCGAGAAGTGAAATTTAACAACATAATATGTGCAAGCATATTAAAATTTCATTAAAATCATGAACGGATCAATGTTAGACCACCTGCGAAAACGTGGAAGCACTGAAAGCCGTTTCGTCCAATTAGGAGACTTATCATCAGTCCTTGCCCTACAAGCAGAAATTCAATCCCGAACAAACCTTATTGCACGTGACCGCTTAAACTGCTGACTACAGTGTTTTTCATCCAAGGGTGTTCATGGCGAACTTTAGTTAATCCTCGATATTTCATGACCATCATCTATTTTCGTTATAAATGATATCTAATCGAATGTATGGATAATACATTTCTCTACAACATACTTTTTTCCCCTTTATTCTTCTATTAGATTCTAGTAACAGGTTATCCAACTCCTACATTGATTTGTAATAATCTACCCGTTACTGATGCACATATGGTATCGAATAAACCACAAGGTGGAACATGGGCATATCGTGTTGTATTAAGTCAAATCACAAAGCAACATTTACGTGAATATTTATGCAAAGCAAATAATAGTTTGGGTAGTGTAAATCAAAAGTTGGAATTAACTGGTAAGAAGATTTTCTATGTAGTAGTAGTAGTAGTAATTGTTGTTGTTGTGTTTTTTTCTAGTGACCGATCAGTGTACGTTTATGCATCATTTATTCAATACAGCTCCCGGTGTTATTGGCTTAGATTTTTGTGGATGTAAGGTAATTCAGAAGGAGATGATAGTTGCAGAGGTTCAATGCACCTCGTACGTTTTCGACTATGAAGAGAATGAGTCGTAAACAAATATATTCTGTTTATCGATATTTATTCGGAAACCAGCAGTTCGATCTTATTTATTAGAGCTGATAGTCATAAATTTTAAATCATTCAGATCAATGGTAAATCTAAAGAGTCACTCTATTAAATGGTTGAAGATTGTTGATACGGAAATTCTGACTGACTGAATTTTCGCGTTACATAACACTCGTCAGCGAGGCACAAGTGTAACTTGAACGATTTAAACGCATGTTACCACAGCTTGACAATCAAAGACGTTATCGTCAAGTTATCTTAATCACAACTGACCTCCTGTAGGATTTCATTATATTCTCAATTGATTGATCATTGAGTAATACCGACACTGTACACTTTTTCTGTCTAATCTTATCGTTTACTGATAATCACTAATTTTTTACTAATTTGTTATGATTCCTTTCTTTAAAAAAAATCTTTTTCATTATTCATTGTCAATGTTTAACTGCTTTGTTTTTCTAGTTGCTCCATCACCGCCAAAAATTTTATCTGCCAATTCAACACAATTTGCCGATTATTATCTATTACATTGGGCAACAAATTCACGTGCGCCATTAAAAAATGTCACTGTCACTATAAGTGAAACACCGACAAATACAGTGAGTTTTTCGTTTGTCTGTTTGTGATTCTAGGTCATTTTGTTTGAAGTTAGGCTCTACTGTTGTTCTCCGTTTTCATGTTCTATTTAAACAAACAATCTGAATGAGACAGAAATTATTATTTCCGCCTTAAAGCTGCTACTATTTACAGCAATCATGATAGGCTTACTTACAAAAAGCTATGAACACCAGACAGTTTCCTCCATCCTGCTACAGAAGTGTAGTGCAGTCGGTAATGATAAACAAAAAAAATTCAAAATTACAAAAAGAAAATCTTTATTCTATTCTGTGAATTATTCCTAAATATATACAATCCAGTGAGTAGTAAATGAACGAAAACAGACCGGTTTCTACTGACTACGATACACCTAGATGACGTTTCGATGTGAAGTTTATCCCGACTCGTCATTTATTTTCAGTCGTATTTTACGGTGAAGAAATTTTTTGAAGCAGAAATGCTCAACCTAATTTTGAACTGTCCAAGCAAGGATTATAGTTGTTGCTTTCTTGATTCGTTTCATTCAATTAGTCAGTAAGCCAATCAAGTATAATCAAAGACTTACTTACTTACTTATGCACTTACTTACTTGCTTACTTACTTACTTGAAGCTGTAACTACTAATGGAGTATAGGTTGCCTACTAGAAAATTATTTTCCTAGTAAGCATTTTTATCAGGCGAGTTGGATTTCTAAGGGATGGAGTGGCTAACCCTGGGCCCAACCTTCCTCCTTTATTCGGGCTTGGGACACGCAGTAACCCTAGAAGGGTTCCAGATGGAGTTAATCAAAGAGAGACATTATGACAAATTTGCTTGAGAGAAACTTAAATAACTCAAATCATATTCGCAAGAATATATGAGAAGTAATATGATCAAAAACGTGGAGTAATAAAGAATAATTTTAATTTTATAATCGAAAAAAATGGCAGATTAACATCTCAGAGGCTTATAGTTATTGAGCATTAAATGAGTAAGAGATAAAGATAGAGAGAGAGAGAGAGAAGTATGCCAAGTTAGTAATGACACATTTAACTAAGATGGAAAATGAAGGCAGCCATACTGGCTGTTATTAGTTTTGAATTAGTCAGTTAGCCAGTTGTTCCACAGAATTTGGTACGTATATATGCACATCCCATACTCCAACTCGTACGAAATTTTCAAGCCCAATCCTACTGCAGTATAGTGACAGTATTAGTATTGCAAAAGACTGGGTATTGCTAATAAGATGTAAACTAGTGAAAACAATTTTATAAACGAGAGAAAGTTCATGAAGAATTCAGGAGATTAGAATTTGAGAGAAGCCAACTAAATTGTGCATCTGCACCATTGCAAACGATTTCGAGCCATGTTATTCGCACCCACTAACCATCGATTACGATTGTCGTACAGATCACAACCACCATTTCTTATTGACTTTGACATGTTTCGGTTTGATCGCCCCCAGCTTTCTTCCAGTCCACTCCTACATTAAACGAAAACATTACCACCTCACTACTTCGTCAGTTGATTTGTTATGTTTTTCTAGCACCCTATTTCTAACCCAAGCATTGCTTACTCGATAGTCTCACGTAGCAATAGTATTTATAAGTAGATGTTTGAGTAGTATTGCAAACTTATCCTAACTTATTCTATTACAGTCATACAGCATGTCTGATTTTCTCATTAAATGTTGTTTCTCTTTAATTTTGAATAAATTTTCTATTACCACTATTACTAAATTTAACTATTTAGCTAATTTGTGACAGTGAATTTTTGTTTTGTTTTTGGGAGCATTATGTGAAAGTAGATAAATACATTTTGATGTTCGCCATCAGCCTTATTCATTTATCATCTTCAATTTTATTATTATTATTATTATCATTACGATTGTTCTCGTTTTCCTTCCTGTCACGTGTTCTTTTGTATTCTCCCATTCTTTACGTATTTTATTTAGTCACACTTCAGTCTGTTGTTGTATTTCGTTGATTTCAAAATTCATTATTATTTTTGCTGCATCATTAATTTATTTATCTATTTCTGGCCAGATGCAGCCATTTACTTAGTCATTGTACATTTTTGTATTGTGTGCTGTGTACCATCTGTGTGTGTGTATGTGTGTGTAGGTGGGTGGGTCTTTATCTTTTATCATCATTGTCCTAAAAATGATAATAGAGAGTATTTTTTTTTTGTCTGCTGTATATCATATCTATGTTGTTGTTTTTAAAATATTTCTCATCTCTTCTTCCCTTTCCCCTGATTTTGTTTATATGATTTTCTGGGTTTTTTTTTCATGTGGAATAAATGTAAAATTATTTTTCGTTTGTTTGTTTGTTTGTTTGAGTATAAAATGAATAGATGAATGAACTAGTTTTAATGTCTACAGCATTACTGACTCTAATTTCATAGTATTGATTTTTATCGAAATCATGAATCGAAGAAAGGAAGCACTAAATGTCCGTTTCTTCCTGGTATGAGACTCCACAATTCCTGCTACTCGTAGGATTCGAACACAAAACTTTCAGCCTTGAGCGCGAACGTCTGACCTTTGGATGACTTAGGCCGTATATAACGGTGTTAATGTCTAACTTCAATGAGTCCATGGTCTTACACAACTTCACCCACTGTTTTTGGTGAGCACTACTTCACACCCAAACAGAGTTGTACTTCACTGGTCACGTCTTCTCACTAGAACTCAGAGAAACTTTACCACGAAGCTAGTCATTATTGAGCACATGAAATTTACATTATGAGGTTGTGCAAATTATTGAGTTACTTTATGGAATCTCCACAACCAAATAATACAAATTCCATTTGCTCACCAGTGAATCGCTTCGTGTGAAAGTTTCTCCGAGTTCTAGTGAGAAGGCGTGACCAATGTAGTTCAAACCTGTCGGGTATATTAGGGAGTAACTACCGAAGACAGTAGGTGAATTTGCACAAAGTTGGACATTGACACCGTTGGATGCCGGCTCATGGTTCCAGAGGTTAAGCGTTCTCGTGCAAGACTGAAGAGTCCCATACGAGGACGAAATGACCGTCTAATGTTAGCAGGTTCCTAATGGTAGTTTAACAATGATTCATTCATCATTTCAATGCTTAAAAATAACCATTCACAAACATTACCTCGCCAACGAATTGATATTGTCCAAAATGACAATGAATGCTTTGAAACCAAATCATCTAGCTCACAAAACTCTACATCATTAGACAAAAAAATTCGTCTTCATTTACAAATTTTCTTTATGATTTCAAATAAGTTTTTTTGAGGTAGCGGCGAAATACTGTGGCTTCGGTGGATGATTATGGTGAGATTTTGTTCTCTGATCTAAATACTTTGTTTTTGGAGCTTTTACTCCTCTTCCGAATAACCACATTATCACCATAGGTAGAAGTGTATCCTCTCTCTTTCCAGTATCTCAACATTTTTCCAATCGAATTTACGTTTACAATTGTCCACATGTATTCATATTGAATACTTCAATTTTATCAGAAATTTATGCTGTCGATGAGGTTGTCCAGAGGGAGAACAATTAAAAAGTTCTTTAACTAAAACATTCATCCTAGAGAACGAAACTTCATCATGAGAGTTGTTTTTTTATTTTAAATAATCATTAAAGAAAAAGTAAATTTGAAAATTATGTTTTTTTTCTTTTTATTAAAAGGAATCTGGTGCTGGGAATTCCATTGTTCCACGTTCTCCAATACTTCATGAACGTGTTTTCATTTTAGAAGAGGATAAAGTTGATCCAACATCTACAGTAGTTCAAACTATCAATAATACTCGATTGAATTTAACCACTGCTAAACAAATATGGCATCATTTAACAAATCTTAGCTCAGATACACGTCATGATATTAGTTTAAGTGTTTGTAATGCTTATGCCTGTTCAAAATCATCGTCATTGAAAAGTCGATCTGGTGGTTCTCCAGGAAGATTTACATTTAAAACCCCGGAATTTGATGGTAAGTATTTTGTTTTATGCCTAATGATTGGATGCAATAAATGAACACATTCTTTTGCTATCAAAAATAAACATTTAAACCTTTATAAAACCATTTTTATTACAAAAATGGTGATTGTCAGTAAAATAGTCTGTTGATTTAAATATGCCATTCACATCATTAGATTTTAACTCTGTGGTCAAGAGATTAGGCGTTCGCACTCGTGGCTTTGACTTTCACGGACAGGGATAGTGGATGCTCATTGCTGATGATACCCAAACTATAACAATAAGACCGATTTTCAACTATGTTTTCATAACCCAAAACACGAACTCTGTTCTGTTAGCCTTCGTTAATATTTGCTCACTCTGTAACATCATGATTTATAGGCGACGTGATGTACACCTATTCTATCTTCGGATTACTATCTTCAAAAACAAAAATGTATAACCTGATAAGAGGTCGAATCCAACATCCATAGGTTATGTTATCTTAAAATCAGAAGAGGTTACAATCAGCTAATCCAGATCTTTGACATCAACGCATTGTATGATACGATCCTCAAAACGATGTATCTCACCCTATCACAATATGTTGGTAGAACCGTGAAAGTTCTTCTCAAAATTACTGACATTAGAGGTCATAATTAATGGCTGAATGGAAAGTTTAGTAAGATTATCCATTTTTTGTAGTCGTCTGAGTAGATCCTTGCATATCATCCACCGTAAGCAAATATTTCCCCACACATTTCAATTTATTGATTTTGTTAGGTAATAATTATTCTTAATAATAACATTAAAACAAGGTGTGAACAGTAGTAAGTTACTAAAAAATTAGGTGAGAATGTTTACTTATCAAATGATTACAACATATTAATTCACAGTATGCTTAGATTTGAAATTCTCAACAACTGATTATTCACACAGTAACTAACAACAGTATCATGTTTATGTGACTTTTTAAATACTGATTAAACTCTATCGACCAAGTTATGAGATGTGGCCATCAATCAAAGTGACCAAATATTTTGGGCACAATGTTTCGATGTTAGCTAGTTGGTAATAGTCATTAGAAAACCCTTTTTGACTGACAATCGTCTGCAAGATGTACCTGTAGGACTGACTCTTCTTGATGGGTTCATATCTGGGTTCCATACTCTAAAACATTTCTGCTCAGATGCTTCGAGTAGCAAGGAATTAGCCGCATAACTTCTAAGCACCAATTTAAGTGATTTCACATTATTTGTGCTATGTTGAAATATTTGGGTAGCTGAAACTATTTGATGCAGGCACAAACGCAGCATAAATTTTCTCAGAATTATCAAGACTCATACACTTCTGATGAATCCCAGCCAGCATAAACGATATTTCACTCGAATTTTACACTTGTCTAAAACACCTCAAGGCAATGTTTACAGACTTTATAAACTGATAACTTATTCTGATTTGGCTTGTTCAACTTTCAAGTCTGTTAAATTTCTGAACAAAAAGAAAAACGATTATAGTTTTAAAAAAAAGATACTTTCATTTTACAGGTTATGTTGATTGTATTTCTTTTTACAAAGATTAGGCGACTACTTCAATGGTTTCTTGTCTTTTTTTTCAAAAATCTACTGTATACAATCATTTCTTAAATGTATATTTGAAACATTAACAAGAGTGATGTAAGAACCCGTGTGTTGATGTGTTAACCTGTCTGCAATGTATATATATATATATATATATATATATATATATATATATATATATATGAGCTTACCTAAGTAGATTTTAAACTAACAGTCATAATAATAATAATAATAATTATTATTATTATTATTATTAATTAAAAAAAACAATAATATCTGTCTCCAAACATCAATCTGCCTTGAATTATTATTATTATTATTATCATTATTTTTAATGTCTATAGACAGAAATAGTTTTATGACCAACATTTTTTTTAATTTTTAAAAAAAATGGATTCAAACAGGAGATTAGAAAAAAAATGAATATTTTCTTGGTTTTTTCCAGCATAAACATTTAAAGCAAATTATTATTATTTTTTTTTGGAAAGCGGAGAAAATATTAATTTTTAAATGGAAAATTTATTTCTAGCTGTATACATATTGTTCATCACATTAAATGTTCTATTCTGGCACTAACCAACAACATCGTTCATGATATGATAGTTTACATGTGTGTCTCTGTCTCTCACTCTCTCTCTCTTCAGTGCGTACATTAGAATTTGGAAAGTATATCGTAGTTAGTTGGTTTAGATATGATCGACTTCTTGAAAGTGTAAAGCTTAGTATTTTTATGTTCGATTCCATTATGCAAGCATTGATCTTATTCCAGTGTAACTGAGAGCTATCGGAATGATTACATAACCAAACACTTATTCCAAACGGATAGAGAGATATTATCATAGAGCTTAGCTTAAATATGCTTTGGTGCAAGTTGTCATACCACATAAGGACAACTAGATGTAAATAGTAACAGTAATAAGAATCATGACAAAGACCGAATCTTGGAAATGTAGTTTTAAAGGACAGCATGAAAAGGTATGTGTGAATGGATGATGCAATTCTCAACTGTAGTTGCTACACTGACGTGGTAACCGACCTAATGTATGGTGTGTTGGGTAATATTGGTTGGAATAATTATTTGCCTTATGTTCAACTAACATTAAACCATTTCCTTCACACAACCAGTATCTATTACTATGCTATGAAAAGAAGAGGCTAGCAAAGTTCCACTTAAAAAAAGTTTCACAGAAAACATAAACCAACAACTTAGTAAGACTGTAAAATCCACTTACAATTATCATTGAAATCTACAGATAACATTTAGGAGTTGCTGAATAACTCACTTGACAAAGTATTGTATTGTTTGTAAAAAGTTACTAGACTCAAAATTCAGTGTGAATATCAATAATTTGATGCAAATATAGACAGCTAATGAATTATGAGTGAGAAGAAAGTCTCCTTGGGATTCGATTATCGCGCATAATCTATCTGTTCTACAAAAATTGCCTATGGTGCTAGGTGATTTTCTGTAGTCCGTCCTCGCAAACAAATTTCAGTTAGACTATTATTCTAAATCAAAAAACATTGAACAATGGTTTTATGAATGTATTTGATCTAAATAAAATCGACGTTTCTGGTAGGAGCCACATAAACCTGTTATTGTTTCTATTTCACATTCTTAATTTTTTATCAGGTTCAAACAAAATTAATCCATCTCTGTTACAACGAAGTCCAAAAGACATTTTATCATTGGATAATGATGTTAATGGTGATGATGATCCAAGTAAGTCAATGAAGATAATAACAGTTGTATTTTCAGTTTATTTGCTGAATCAACTTAGTTTAAATACTTAGATTTGAGTTATAATGTTTGTGACTGTTAAAAACATGAAGTTATTGCAACATGCATATATGATGCCTCTTCACATATATATATATATATATATATATATATATATATATATATATATATATATATATTTATCATGAAATACCTTAGGTTAGACATTAACACCATTGGATGCTAACTTGGTAATGCGAAGATCCATTGACTGAAGACCTTGTGGTTCAATCCTCCGATACGCACTACTGGAAAGTTCCACACAGAAACAAAACTGCTGTCCAATACTTGCTTGTTTTCAACAATGGTCTAGTTAAAATCATTTCTAAACTTAAAAAAACTATAAAAATAAAATATTAGTTTGGCTGTACACAAAAAACATGTTATTTATGAACATAAATTTTAATCAGTCAATCACTAACGTCAAAGATGTCATTTTATGAATGAAATGATTGTAGGTGCAATTAGATTTACAATTATATGACGGAACTAGATAACATGTTCATATATCTACTTGTTGCTAATAAGTAGTATCAAATGGTAACAAAATCAAGAACTAACCTCTACTAGACAACTCTTGAAACCGACGAAGCTCTAGAACAGTTATTATATCCTTATATGGAATACTATGGCTGTGTGTATTCAACAAAACGCAGCTGGGGATTGAATTCAACAACTTTAGATGCTTGAACAGATATTTATTCGTTTACATATGTAACTACTTTCAAATCACAGTGTTAGATAACCAACTTCCATCATATTTGATGGATAATTGTTTCATCCAAGGCACACTAGGGTTCCAAAAATTTCCACTCGACTTTAATCATTAGTAAACGTATAATAATTATTAGTGTAGGATTATTCCTATTTTCTGAAATCATGAATCGATCATTGCAAAACTAGCATTGGGTGGTCGTTTCGTCCTTACATGGGATTCATCAGCAGTGGGCATTCACGACCCCATCATCGAGGATCAAACCCAAGGCCTTAGTCTCGTGAGCAAGCGCTCGACCTCTGGACCAATGTCCAACTATAATCTCTCCAGGGTATTGTAAGACCACACCTATTATCTTAGTTTAATAACTGCCTACACCCAACAGAGCTGTACTTCACTGGGTACAGCTTTACACTTGAACTCCATGAAGTTCCTCACAGAGCAAGTGAGTACATTTTTGATGATAAGCGCTATTGAAATAAACATTGAAAACAAACATGGAGTTCAGCGAAACAATGTCTTTTTGCAACGAATATAATATCAAGTCGTATACTCGTATGTACATCTATGTATGAAATTTTATTAAATAAATAATTTCTTGAAGAAGTATAAACAATCATGGCATAGACGCATTCATTCTTTGTTTTGTCTAGAATTCTAATCTTCTAAATTCTTCTCTTGCTCACTATTTTTTCAACGATTCCTCTGGGATTTACTTCTTTAATGATATCTTCGATCAATAATCTTTTAAATTACATCTAATACTTTTATTGCATCTACTACTACATCTTTTGTTAATATGATATGGCAACTTGAACTGATATACCTACGTAAGAAGTACTACATTTAAGCTGGCTAACTAACAGAAATTAAATCATGATAATATGACAGGTAATTTAAGAGATATTAGGATGCATTATGTATGAACATGACGTAGAATTTAAGAAAACCGTGAAGATAAGAACAAGACATACTTATTCTGTACACACAATTCTGGCTTCATCTGATGGATAGTCGCAAAACGTTATGCTACTTTTTATAGAGTTCGATACAAAGAATATCTAAATGTCGACTTGAATAAACTGTATACACAAACTTAAAATGAATCGGTGGATTAGTGAAGTGATTAGAAAATAATTGAATGTTCAAGAATGGAACTTGTAATTGACTTTCTCTCATCCGTGGAGTACCTACTATATTGGTATTTATTGTCGTATATGTGTTGAAAGCATTTTCTGGCTAGGGCTTTTATATCTAACTCGACAAGGCCAGATGACCTGATAGGACCATTAGGAAGTCATCAAATGAGGAGGCTTATTGCATCATCATATTTATTGATTGTTCATAGGTCGATATGGAATTGATACTTGAAAAAATGTCATAGATGTATACAATGATAAAACTTGATAATAAATGAATTGAAACGAGATCGCTTTTTGCTGAACTTCATGTTTTTAATTGAATATATTCAACTGGGATAACAACTAGCTGTATATAATTCTACACCTATCAGCACGGCTCAGAGTAGTAATCAGACTCTCTCTCACTTTATATATGAACGTGTTCCAAGTATTGATCAGATCGACCTTAACTCTACCGTTATTATCAACTAGTATTGCAACGATTTGTTATGTATGATAGGATAATTATGTTGTAATCACTTCATTCGTTTAAGGCTTTTAAATTCATCAATTAAAGTTAGATCTAGCAATTGATTGCTGTCCTCAATGATGAGACCTCAGATGAGTTAAAAATAAATCATAAGTATCATAACGTTGGGTATGTTTTGATTCTATGCGGCAGTTCATGTCGAAATGACTGACGGTAATTAGAGAGTCATGACTACAAGTCAGTGAATCATCATCAGAAGATGTAAGATCCCATGATAGAAATAAGTTCCTATTTCATTTATTCCCTCTGTAACTTGAGGCTTATTTACAATATTGATTAAGAATGTAGTTTCTTGCAACCTTTCAGTCTATACGCTGTCCCACTCTTCTACAACCATCAACCTGGTTTGAACTCTAGACATTTACTTTTCACTCTCTCATGTATATGAAAAGAAGCCTGATTTGTAGCGTAAAGTTTGTAAGTAGGATTATTATGACAGAGGAAATAGAAAATTTCATCACATTAGAATATTTTGATCAAAAAGACCGAACTAATGATCAGCTTATGGATAGAGTATCAAAGCATTTCAACTCATTGATGAACATACTGATATTTTGTATAATTAAATTTTAAACGGAAATTTTTTTGTCCGAAAATGCACGCACATAGATTACAGTCAACATTAGAGTTTTTTTTACACAAACTATCAAAATAACAACGATGCAAAACCTAATAAGGAAATCACGATGTTCACATGTGCTATGTTCTTTTTTCCAGTTTTAATTTTTATATGTCAATTATATGGAATTTTTGTTGAAAAAATTTATTTTTGGACTGGTTCGTCTACCACCTTCCCTAACTCACCTATTCCACCCTTAATTCACTAAAGAGAAAAGTTAACCAATGTTTTCTAATGAAATCGACTTGTTTCTCTGTTCATTTTGGCAATCATGAATAAAAATTAAGCCAGAATAAAAATTGAAGTTTTATTTGTTAATAATAATAATCGTTATCATTATTATTGCAAGAAAACAGCCTCAGTTTTCTAGAAACAAAAACTAATCATGTCAATCTATTATGTAAATCATTTTTTATCCATGTTGATGACATGAAAAAAAGATTTCATACTAATGAAGAAGAGTTTGTGATTCACTGTAACGATTCAAATCGATCAGAATTAAGGTATAAGATTAAACTGGATAATTGAAAATAAAAACTGACTAAAATATATTGGCTCATTGTTTCTTTCCCTTTCCATCGTTTGCACAAATGTACACACACACACACAAACACGTCAATTACTAGAGTTAGTAGTAAAAATCAAACTATAGTACATGAGGGTGTTACATAATCATGTCAAAATTCAATAATGATCTAGGCTCTTGGTATCTTCATTCACATTTTTGTTTGATAGTCTGTTGAATCTAGATGATGATGAGAGTATGGCATTGACAAGAGATGTTTAGAATTGTTTTTTTTAAAAAATAATAAATGTCTCATTGCTAGGGAATATGGAGTTTATTATTATTTTTTTCGTTTAAAAAGAAGCTTTCTAATCTGAATGTTCTCATGCTCAATCTATTACCTATGCTATCATTGTGTTTGCAGAAGTTTCCACACCTTCATGATCATTTGTTGTAATTCTATAAATTTACTGTTTTCTGTTTACGGAGTTATTCTTAAAGAAAACTTTGCCGATTTATTGATTCAAGCGTCAATACCTCTGATAATATAGAAACGAACTAGGAACCCAGTATGTTGAGCTTTCAGCGTAAACGGTTTAACAGACAAGTCATACCATGTTATTAACAAAGGTGGATGGTGGTTGGCAGTAAAATCCAGAACGTGTGTTTCATCACACTTGAAACTCGTCTGTAGGTGAATTTACCTGCTACATTGTAGAGTTTACAACTCGGACCCAATACCATTCGCTACCAACAAAACAAACTAATCATCTTGATCATCAAAATTTCCGACTTTACATGTGTCGATTGATCTATCAGTAAGAAAACCACTGTAAACTTGAAAACACCAGAAAACTAGCTTTTTAGTCTTAACATGAACAGCAACTGAAGCCTTCATATCATAAAATCCCGAATATTAGGCTCCCTCTATAGAAAAAATTTCTAAATTATGAGTTCAATCTGGTAAGCGCTATTGAAAAGTCTCATATAAGGACGAAACATTAGTTCAGTATTATTTGTCAGCATCAATCAAAAATTCTTCATAAAATCTCTCATATTCAACACAATAATTCTTATGTATTTTTCATTCTCTACTTTTTTTTTGTAGACTCAGCAAGAAACGGTAACCACGCCAAATTAAGACCGCATCAAACATGGATTGTATTATTCAGTGTAACATTATTATTGAAATATTTTATAGCAAATATATTCTCATCTAGTGATATTTGTTAACTACATTCATACACATCATATACACAACCAACTTCTTTGATTGTGTTCATTTGAACAGTTGACATTATTCTGAAAAAGAAAATTTTTTTTTTCTCTTTTTATCCAAATCACAAAAGTTTATTCATTCTTTGCGTGTTTTCTCTCTATTGTTACTGTTGTTCGTGTTCAGTTGATTTTCAATCTGTTTTGGCCCAAATGAGAGAGAGAGAGAGCAAAACACACAGCCTTGAATGAAGTGATTACTTCTGTTTCTTTGTTTTTTTTTATGTTTGCTAATCATGAAAACATGAATTCCACTTTAGGAATATTCACATTAGTTCAGGTTGATAGTGATGTAGTCTTTACATTTATGATCATCGTTGTTGTTGTTGTTATAGTTGTTGTATTTCTGTTTATTACATCTATCATGTACACTTTTGTCTTATACGACCCTTTAATTGCACACACACACACACACACGCATATACACACATTTATCTATATAATGAATTGCACAGATTAACGTTAGAATTATGACAAGGCATTACACAGAATGTTCATGAAATTCGTTCCAGACAGACGGTCATCATCATCATCATGATCATCATCATTGTCACTGCATAAAAATCATCGTCCGACACTGAATGTTTATCAAAATGTATATCTATAGTTCTATTTTTTATTGTTCTGTGTCTCTCTCTTTCTCTCTCAGTTTATTTATCATGTACCAGTCTTCGTTTGGTTTGCATTGCCGATTCAATAAGTTTTACTTTCCTGAGTATTGCAACCACTACTACTACTACTATTAAGCAGGCATTTTTGTTTATAGATTTCTGTCGCCTTTATTACTGTTTAAACTGCTGATATTGTCGAATAATAATTGCTGATGTTTCGCTTATGTTGTTCTGCCTTTCTAACTGCAATTCTTTTAGTAATTCATTGTTTTCCTGTTGTTTTTTTTAATGATCCCAGCGTTTACATTACTTACTGTTCATTTTGTTTTGTTTTTTTAAACCAACATGTGTACATTTCTAGTGTTTGTTTATAGTTTATCTGATATGTTAGTCGACTGTACATGGATTATCTTTCACCAATTCTCTTCTCCTTTTGAAATTTAAGTGTACTGCTCTTTAAAAACGAAAAGTCGAAGAAAAAACAAGCGCGCGCGAGAGAGAGAATAAAGCAAAATCTGTTGTAATTTGTTCAGTTTTTTTTTTTAAATTTCCTTCTACCTCGCTTCAGCAAAGACAAACAACAGAAGCATTGGAACATGTTTTACACAGTCTTTTTTTCTTAATGTAATTTAATTTTATGATTAATTAACGGAGTATATATATATATGTGTGTGTGTGTGTGCCTGTTTGGTTTCATTCATTTTTTAGTTCAAGATTCTATTTGTTCAGTAAAACAAAATATATATTAATAAATAAATTAATATATATATATATTTATTGATGTAAAACTTTCTTCTTACTCATGGTCTATTACCCCGAATGTGGGGCATAGGCCACTGACCGGCATTCGTCAACCTAACGTGTCCTAAGCCTTCGTTTCTGATTCTATCCAATGGCTTTCAATTCAATTCTTCATGTCTGCTTCTGATTTTCGACAACAAGTGATCTTCGATCTACCTCTTACTTTTTTCTTTTAATCTTGAGGATTCTGAGTTAAGGCTTGTTTTCAGGTGCAGTTGGTTGATACCGTCAGTGTCCTGTCCTGTTCTGTCTCGACCCTCTGAGCAAAGATCATGTATAGTATGTAAAACGTGTTTCGAAAACTTGATACTTTCTACATATCGCCGATTTGTTTATAAGAATCATGTGCTTAGTAGAGATGAGATGTACTTTTGCAGGAGTTCCAGTGAGAAACTGTATTTAGTTAAGTGACACAACTATCCATACTAAGCAATCAATATTTGTCAGGTAGTATCATGAATTGATTGAAGTAACATAAGTACATAACATTTCTATCTTTGATCATAATAGAAACCAACGATCCTGATTTCAATTTTTTGCCATAAGATCGTAGATACGCCCTACTAAGAGCAACCTTGTAACAGGAATCCACAGAATTTCGGTGCTTCCAAATTGTCAATAATAATTTATATAAGATAATTTCGTAATTTAAATTATAAAAGACGATTTATTGAACAACAGTGAGTATTGTACTCCTTGAATTCCGATAAATTTTAATACCGTTGTTGTATAACCAGCTAAGGGCAATTAAATCAAACCTGGTGTCAGCCTTGAATTATTTCTTCTGGTTAGCGTTTTTTGGCAAGTTAGTTTTTTGACGGGATTGGGTCGCTAACCCCATACCCAACCCTCCTCCTTTATCCGGGCTTGGAACCGGCAGTAGCCTCGAAGGGTCAACAGGCCTATGAAGTCATCACCTTTTGGTATAGCTCGTGCTAATCGATACAAACTACATGCTAAGAATACTGATGATGACTAAGAATAAGAATTAGAGTCGCTGGATGAAATAACCAAAAAATCCACTCATTGACTTATATATATACGATTCTAAGCAAGTGGAGTTCTAATCTGACTAGAGAAGAAAAAAACATTTTCTGTGAAGATCGCTTTAATTAATTAGTAACTGTTAGTGGCTCATAGTTTAGCCAACAAATGACATGTTTTAAAATCTCATCAGTTCTGATGGCCGATTGTCTGATAAAATCTCAGCGGAGATACAGTCAGCTCGATTGACTTTTGTCAACTGGCTAACCAAAAGAGAAGTCTGTAAGAGAAGCGGATATTTGTAGGTTAGTGGTTTTCGATCATTGGTGTCTCCGGTGCATTACTCGTACATTCTGAGATCACTGATTAAGCAGTGTTGGTGTTAGGAATGGGGTTCTAGGTGAGGATAGCAAATAACTTAATGAAGTAATAAATCTTCATCCATTTAAATGGTTGATACATGTGTTATGAATGCCCAATCATCGACTGCAACGACGAGTGAAGTTTTGTGGTGTAGGAGTATGCTAGAAGAAAGCTAGGGGCAGTCAGATCAAATCCATGAAGTCACTGAAAACTGGTCTGATCCATGTTGGTAAGTGTAGATTACTTGGTTGGCGTCCGCGAGATGTTGGTAATCGATGATTAGAGACTTTGAAAGACGTGCAATACTGCAGATGTATCCGTTCCTGTTATCTCTCATATTCTAATCTAAAATCTTCCTGAATGATTTATCTCTTTGTAAATTTGTTACACCACTCAAATCATTTCTTCAATCCGTAGTCTTTCTCAATACTGCCACTTAGTCTACTACCTCTACTACTATGGTATGTGAATCTACAATTCCATCTCATTGTGCTACTAATGTGGTTTAGAAACTTGAACTGATGGTCTACTTTGTAGCTGACTAACTGATTTATTTCACTACTCTAAATGGTCTAACACAACACTAAAGTGATTAGTACCAGTCATACAAGAATTTTACGACAAAATATACAAATTCATGGACTTTACCTTGAAATATAGGACACGGACAAACTGTTTAACCGTTTAAGCTCATTTCTAGCTAGAATATTTTTTTTTAATATTAGACTGTAGTTTCAAATTTACATTATTAAACAAAGTATTATCGAAAAAAACCAATTTACCCACCGATATGTTCTAAATTCAATACCGATTAGAATTTAGATTCTTCATTTAAATGCTCCCTTTGTGTTCTTTTTATAATCACCGTGTAAATGACTCATGATTGTAACCTGGTTTTAGGAGAAGAAGAAGCAGAAGAAGAAGAAGATATTTTATGTCTGTATGTAAAAACGAAGAATTTTTTTTAAAGTTGACCTAGGAAGAGATAATGTATTTGCCTTTTTTCATGTTTAATATATTGTGTGTGTAATAACGTTCGTTTATTTGTGAAAAAAAAATTCCCGCCATGATACGGTTGACAATGAGGACAGTTCGTTCAGTCAATCTTCAAATGCTTTTACATGACCACATGTGTTATAGACACTATCAGAGAAGTTCTGCTCATTGTATTCGACTGACGCAGTTGTTGTTTACCAAATTGGATGAGTCAGTCAGTCAGTTGCAACGTAGAACTTCGTACGTAAGTACATCAGTTCATGTTGCCATACTACATCAGCACAGAGATATAATTGTCAATTCAAATCCAATAGTAGAAGAGGTAGTAAAGATATTAGAAGTAATCGGAGGGGTTAGGATTAGAAGATATTATTCAAGAAGTATGTTTCAGTGAGAAAAGTTTAGAGAGTCGAAACTAGAGGTGTTGAAGAATCCAGAAGATTAGGATTTGAGAGAACACAAAGAATAAATGCACTGGCGCCATTGCGAACGATTTTGAGCCATGTCATTCAAGGTCTCTAACCATCGATTATTATCATCTCGCGGACCCCAACCAGGTAGTCGACAATTACCAACATGGCTAAGTCCACTCGTCAATGACTTGATGGATTTCTGCCATGTTTTGGTCTGGCCACCCCTAACTTTCTTCCAACCTATTCCTACACTACAAAACAAAGCTCGACGAGGCAGTTGGTGGTTAGGCATACGCAACACGTGTCTCAACCACCTCAACTGATGAAGTTTCATTACTTCATCTATTGATCTGCCATTCTTACCTAGTACCCGTTTCCTAATAACAGCGTTGCTCACTCGGTTGGATGAACCAAAAAGTAAATGTCTGATTTAGACTAAAGCCGCATTGATGAGAATGGACTATCTACCTAGAGTAGTTTAATGACCGAGACTTCCAACTAATGGAACAGCTTATCAATGCATTTAAACTGGACACCATTTTAAACTGTTTTTATAACTCTGTTATCTTTTGTTCACATTGGCCATGCAGACAGGTGTCCATCGTAGTCTATAAATCGTTAAGAGTTGCACAATATCGTGAATTGATCGATATCAAACATGTCCACCATTAGATTTCAACCCATTAGTCTAACGGTTAAGTATTCATATGTGCAAGTCAGAGTCCTGCATTCAATCTCTGAATGAAAGTTCGTAGATACGCGCTACTGACGAGTTCCATACTAAAACAAATACTAAAAGCTATCTAATAATACCTGGTTTTCACTTAGAGTCCATCTGAGATCACTTAATGATTTAAACCATAAAAATTCTACAATCTCCAAAACTCTGCTTATATCGATCAATTTATCAAAAGCATTGACCTCTGTCCATTGTGTTCTTTTTTTTTATTCGACAAGTTCACGGACACAATTCAAATAAAAATTTAAGTTCAAAGTAATTTTCTACAAAGGTTTTTATTTAATTTTTAATATATGAGCAATGTACACATTCTATAACAGTCTCATATATCAGACTGAACACAGTACCTCTACTGTTTTAGATGAATGTAGTCCCGACGTTAGGCATTTGCGCACGAAACCGAAGGTCCTGGGTTTGAGTCCTGTTAGTAGCATGAGTCATAGTTTGTGCACTGCTGATTACCCCGATACCAGGACGAAACGGCCGTCCAGTACTTTCAGGTTTCTAATGGTAGTCTATTGGTGATTGATTTATGATTTCATTAAGAATTCGGTACAATTTAAACTCTGTATGAGTACTGAATGGTTAAATATTTTCAACTATAGTTAATTTGTAAAAATTCTATCATTTTCCGTCATATTCTTAAGCGAAAAGCGGCTTCCCTATTTACATACTGACATTATTGATTAAATTTATACATTTATCCAGTCTCCTCTCTCTTTCTTTTTATTCCCTATTGCATTCCTTATTTGGAATAAAATAAAAATCAATATTCTAACTGTCATATACGAATAATGGTTCAGTTTGTAATATTGATTAATACTCAAATGTAATTTCATTAAATATTATTGATTAATTCTTATGATATGCTTCATATCAGTCAGATTTTTACTATAAAAAGGGAAAATATGGAAATACCACTTATCATTTAGGCTAATGATTAGTTTTAATGCATATGAAGTTTGATATGGAATGTGATTAAAAGTGGAATCTTATTTCAAAATCATCAACATGAGCATATCGACCACCAACAGCTGATGCTCACCCTGGAACTCGTACTTAATGTCGTTCACTTTAAACATCAGTCATTCAATTAAACGAACTGTATGAAATTTTATATGATTTGTACACGTGATGGACCAGGTGTTGGTATTTCATGCGATACATGCTTGGGCTCGAGTTTCATTGAGAACATCAACTCTGGGGTGCAGGTATACTCAGTTGATATGTTTGCAATAGAATGAACCAGACATTCTTTATTCCTTACTCATTCACTTACTTACTTACTTACTGATGCACTTATGCACTTACTTGCTTTCTTACTTACTTACTTACTTATTTACGTTAGTCGGCTCTGACGCTTCGCTTCACCTTAGGTTCTGAGTTC